ACAGGAGAGGAAATTAGGAAATCGGTTTTCTCATTGGGAGCAAAAAGGGCTCCAGGTCCGGATGGTTTCTCGGGTAGGTTTTACCGGAGATTCTGGGATATTGTTGGGGAATCGGTGTGTAGAGAGGTAAAGGAGTTTTTTGAGACGACTGTTATGCCGAATGGATGGAATGATACACATATCGTCATGATTCCTAAAGTGGACCACCCAGAATTGATAAGCCAGTTTCGACCTATCAGTTGCTGCAATTTTAGATATAAAATTATATCGAAGATCATGGCAACCCGCTTGAAGATCTGGACGCCTGATCTAATCTCGGAGCTCCAAACTGCTTTCACCGGAGGCCGGCTTATCCAAGACAATGTCATTATTGTCCACGAGGCCCTACACCACTTCAAAAACCATAAGAGGAGAAGGAGAAGGGACATGATGCTCAAGTTGGACATGAAGAAGGCGTATGATATGGTGGACTGGGAATGTCTTGAAACGCTGCTGAAGAAATATGATTTTGATGATAGATGGTGTAGATGGGTTAGCTCGTGCATCAGGACGGTCAACTTTTCCATCCTTTTCAATGGGGAAGCAACAGAGGAGTTCAATCCATCAAGGGGAATCAGACAGGGTGACCCTCTCTCTCCTTTTCTTTTCATTCTAATGTCTAATGCTCTTACCTTCCTGATTGACAAAGCGGTTTCCCATAACCAGTTAAAGGGTATAAGGTTGAACGCGAGATGCCCGATTCTCACTCACTGCTTGTTTGCAGATGATACGGTGATCTTTGGTAAGGCTGACCTTCAAGAAGCAGAGAAAATATTGGACCTTATAAGAGAGTATGGTACCATCACGGGTCAAGAAGTGAATATCAACAAATCATCTGTTTTCTTCAGTGCGAATGTACCCGAGGTGGACAAAGTTGCAATCATTGGTCACATCGGGTTTGCCTCGTCTAACTGCCACACCAAATATTTAGGAGTACCAATGGAATGGGGAAATTCGAAGAAGGAAACTTTCCAATTCCTGATTCAGAGAATGGAAAAGATGGGTGAAGCATGGAAAAGCCTCCTCCTCTCTCATGGAGGGAAAGAAGTGTTACTCAAAGCTGTCATTCAAGCTATTCCTTCATACATCATGTACCTTTTTAACCTCCCGGTGAACCTGACAAAGAAGATGGACTCCCTCCTCACCAATTTTTTCTGGTCAAGGTCAATGCAGAAAAGCACAATGCACTGGTGCAGGAAGGAAATCCTATGTGCTCCAAAAGCTGAGGGGGGATTGGGATTCCGAAGCTTCAAAGATTTTAACATGGCCTTGTTAGCTAAACAAGCGTGGAGAATCCTTAACTCCCCTGAGCTCTTTGATCCACATGTGTTTCTATCTTCTTCGTCGGAAGTTCCGAAAGCTGGTACCATTCAGAAGGTTGTTGACCTCGTGTATGCTTGTACTCAACATGTACCATCCATGCGGCCTAGAATGTCTCATGTTGTTCACCAGCTACAGCAGTTGGGCCATCAATCCTCTGTTGTTTAAATTTAAGTTTCATTTGTGTCGTAGAGCTTGCACTTATAACAACAGTAGATAGACCTGTCCCGTTTCGGGTCGTGGAGGAAGTGTATTTGTTCTAAACTAGTTTTTGTGATGACCTGTATCTTATTAGGAACCTCAATTGCAGCCTTTGCTTGCCGTTTATTTGTTCATGAGTAGTCTGTTCTTCAGGTTTTTGCTATGTTAGTCAAAATATAGCAGAAAGGATTCGGACAAAGATTCTCTCAATTTCAGTGACCTTGGGTATGATGATAGTGATACCTTGAACTGGCTCAGAATTGCGTAAAAATGAAAAACTGACAGATAGCAGTTATATTACAATTTCTTTCCTCGTTATTCTGTACACAAATTTCTTATTTACATATGAGTTTCGAGAAATGCGAGCATGGCCAAACCAGCAGCCCAGACATCTTCATCCAACACATGCTCAGCAGGAGAGTGACTAACTCCTCCCCGGCAGCGTACGAAGAGCATTCCGACCTGTTCCATTGTTACAGATAGCGGTTATGAAACGTATAACCATGAGCGGATTACCTTAAGTAAATAGAGGAAGATGGGTGAAGATGATAAACCCTTACCTTGGTAAGATGAGCCATAGCCATTGCATCATGCCCAGCACCACTCATCAAGACAGAAACTTCGTCTTGGACCTCGCCTGTCATTCTCTCGATAGCAGCATTGGCTGCAAACTTCAGCTGTGAAGTTAACTCTGAATCGCAGAGCACTGCGTTTGCATCATGCTACAACAAAAACCAGCAACCGTTCAGTCTAGCTTGCAGTTCTGCTCCTAACCAAAAGCTTCATAAGGGTACTATCGAAGATATAAGCAGTCAACTGAGCTCTCACATTGCAATCAATATTGCAGGAGACGGATCGTTTATCACATATTTGATATATCTGATCAGATAATTCATACAGAATGGCTTCCCGACCCATGTCATCCATTGCACGCAAATCCACGTGAAAGTTACCTTTGGACATGAAGACAGCATTTTTTAGGCCCAAAAGGTGATGTGATGGATTGTTGTTGTACATACCATACATTGCATGCTATCGACAGTGGAATTCTTTGTCATAATAAAGAAAAGCTTACCTGGCGTGGAATGACGTTGCTTGCACTTGGCCAAGTGGAAATCTCGCCAACAGTACAAACCAGGGAATTGGAAAGTGATTCCACAGTTGCATCATTGCACTGACTGTCATAGGATAGAAATTGCTTAGGATTCTTGCAAATGGTTTCCAACCTCAGAATTAGTTCGGCAGCAGCAGCCATGGGGTCTTGACGCATGGACATGGGAACTGTTCCAGCATGTCTCTGTGAGCCACTCATAGTAATCTGCAAAATACCGAGTGTCCTTGATCGCGTTTTTACTGACCTA